GTCAAATCTGTATTCCTATTTACAAATCACTTCATACTGTTTAATTTCTTACGGTTATTGAATAAAATGATATAAAAATAATCTCTGCATTGTTTAGTTAGTTCTATGTGGTGCAGTTTGAGAATGTACAATTGGCCCAGTCTCCTCTGATGTTACACTGCAACCTGCCTGTGAGACAGAGTCCAACCACACATGTCCAACACATAGGCCTAATAATAATAATAATACATTATATTTATAGCCTATAGGCCTAGCGCTTTTCTACAACTCAAAGACGCTTGCATGCTTACACATGTCCTGCAATACACATGCTGCAGCTGCCCAGCTGCTCACTGTTTGTAAAAGTAAATAAATACTATTTTAATTTCAATAATGTATTTTCTATACCCTGCTTCATCAACAATACTGAAATCCCTGTGCTCCTCCGAGTCTGGGGGTCGGGGGATGTGAGGACAGCGCGAGGACACAGACAGGGAGGCTGCTTGATTGATTGATTGATTGAAAAGTTTATTAACAGCTTGTATATTGGGTACAGTACAGTACAGCTCAAAACATACAATTGTTAAGGGGATGCAGACCAGAGAAAGACTTTCGTCTTGTTTACATCAGGGTCCCCCATTTCCAATTCATCATATCATTTAAGACATATAAGACATATATGACATACAGATGGCTTATTTACAATTTACATACAGGTGGTTTTTTACATACAGATGGATTATTTACAATTTTCATTTTAGATTTCGTTCTAATACATCCTAACCGGACATTTAAGACATACCAAGTCTACAGATATACAGTTAGTAACAGAGTCTAAAATGCGAGTATATACATAGATGGGGGGGGGAAGCTGTCCATTGTACGACAGGTTGAGATTTGTACCATTACCGGGGCCAGTTTTGCAATGCTTTCTCCCGAAGGTGCTCTTTAAGAGAGGTTTTGAAGGTAAGTATAGTTTTACTTTCCTTTACAGTTGTGGGAAGAGCGTTCCACCTTGATGTGGCATAATTGCGAAACGTGTATTCCCCTTTTTTTGTGCCAAATCTGGGTTTTACATGATTTGTGGAGCTCCCTCTGGTGTTATGATCATGGTATTCCTTGACCTTTGGGAAGAATTTTGACATGTACATGGGTACCATAGAGGTGTAGTGGATCTTGTAGACCAGGCCCATTGCAAGTAGCTGTACTCTGTCGTCTACTCTAAGCTATCCTAGGTTGTCAAAGTGGGCAGAGGTGAGGTGGGTTCTAGATGAAAGGTCAAGCAGTAGTCTGACCAGTTTATTTTGCGATGTTTGAAGTTTTGTTTTTAGCGCCTTGGAGGTGCTATGGTACCATGACGTGCAAGCATAGTCATAGTACCCTTGAATGAGTGCTCCTGCCAGAGTTTTCAGGGTGTTTTTGTTTACCAGAGAGGAGATCCGGTATAGGAATCTAGTTCTTTGATTGACTTTTTTTATTACATTGGATGCCATTTTGTCACAGGAGAGGTTTGCCTCAAGAATAGATCCTAGGTATGTAATTTCCTTCTTACTTGTGACAATAATGTCACCCACTGCAACTGAGAAGTCGTCGGATTTGCTGAGATTATGTTTCGAACCGAAGAGAATGGACTCTGTTTTACCCAGGTGTAATGATAATTTATTATCGGCGAGCCAGGTGCAGATTCTGCCGAGCTCGGAGCTGAGGGTTTTTTCAACCTGCAATCTGCTCCTGTCAGAGACCAGCAGGGCTGAGTCGTCCGCGAACAGGAACAAGTTGCAGTCACATGCTGATGACATGTCATTTGCATAAATTAGGAACAGTAACGGACCTAATATGCTTCCTTGTGGAACACCACAGCTCACTGGGAGGGGGGGGGACAGAGTACCGTTTACCTCCACCATCTGTTCTCTCCCCTCCAGGTAGGATTGCATCCAGCTCACCGATAGTTTATCAAAACCAATTGCTTTTAGCTTGTCAATCAGAATGGGGTGATTGACAGTGTCGAAAGCCTTTTGTAGGTCCAGCATCACCATGCCGCAGTATTTACCCTCGTCCACCTCTTGTTTGATGTGGTCGGTCAAATAAAGAAGGCATGTGTCAGTGGAGTGGGATGTTCTAAAGCCAGATTGAAATTCATAGATTAGTTTCTTTTCTGCGAGGTACTTTTCGACCTGTTCATATACTATTTTTTCCATGACTTTCGAGATGGAGGTAAGTATAGAAACAGGGCGGTAGTTGCCTGGGTCCAATTTGCTGCCCTTTTTGTGCAGGGGGGTTACTCTTGCAATTTTGAAGTCTTTGGGTACTTTTCCCTGTTTTATGGAGAGGTTAATTATGTGAGCTATGACTGGTGAGATGGCGGTTGCTGTGTCTCTGAGGAATTTGGAGGGGATATTGTCGTGGCCAGTGGCCTTGTTAGGTTTGAGGGCGCTCAGTTTAATGAGTACCTCTGCTGTTGTTACCCTTGCTAGACTGAAATCATCTTTGCGTACCCCTAGGTTTTTGTAGTAGGTCATGATGTGATCTACTCCAAAAAGCCCTGAGTGGGAGGGTAATTTATTTACAAGAGTTGTGGCTATGTTTGTGAAAAAAATGTTCAAGTACTTGGCCACATCCAGTTTGTCTGTGATGAGCCTGTTATCTGTCTTTATGTTTACGTTTGAAAATCTCGTTTTGAGTTTTTTACTGCAGCCAAGCTGGTTATTGAGTAATTTCCAAAGTTCACGGGGTTTATTTTTGTTTTCCTCAGTTTTGTCATTGATGAAATTCTTTTTGGCAGTTTTGATCATGGAGCTTACGTCATTTCTTAGTCTGTTTCTTTCAATTTTTAGTTCAGTCACGTGGGCCTGGAGTTCACTGCTCGTGCTTTTGGAAAGCATTGACTGACTTTTATGAAACTCAGAGCATTTTTTGTCTCTGGTTTTCATGGCGGTCAGTATGCCGGAGTGCATCCACGGCTCAGCGCGATTTTTTACCCTGGTTGTTCTTAGGGGGGCCAAATCATTGAGTATTGCAGAGAATTTGTTTTTGAAACCAAGCCATGTTTCTTCAACTTGTGTACCACTGAGCTCATCTGACCAGTCCAGGCTCTCCAGTTCTAGGTTAAAGGCCTCGCTAGAGTAGTTTTTGAGGTCTCTAGATATGACTGTTTTGTGACAGCCGGCCTTTTGTTTTAGCTTTTTGCGGGTACAGAATATCATATAATGATCACTTAAACCGCATGCTATAACCCCTTTACTGGAGATCCTGGACCTGTCAGAGGTCAGAATGAGATCAATGGTAGTTTGTGTTGTTTCACATACCCGGGTGGGTTGGGTGATTAGCTGGCTGAAGCCGTGCAGATCACAAATCCTACTGAAGGACTTGAAGACGGACGTGTCTTTACGTTGCATATCCGTGTTCCAGTCTCCACTTACTTCATAAAGGAAATGGCGTCAATATACAACATAGGAGCTAAAACGCTTAATAACCTTCATTACGTGTTAGAGAAAGAACATAAGAAAGTTTGACAAAGATTATGCTGTTAAAGGGCAGCGGGTCCGCTGTGTGTAGAAAGAGAGAGGGAGAGAGAGAGACGCTGAACTGCACCGTGCAGCGATCAGATGATCCGGAACAGAGAGAGAGAGCTGCGGTCCGCGGGGCTCGGCATCGCCTCCTGTCCTCACAACTCTTATTAATCCCGGTACCGGACAATTGTTATTTGTTCCTACTCGGCACCGAGTTTTGCTTCCCAACTCTGCCACTGTCCGCCCCGCCCCCGTCTAACAGTACAGAAAGCGGCGAGATGCATTTCCTTAGGAATCGACAAGCAGAACCGAAACTAACATTTCTAAACGAACAACTGACGGACATGGACAATTTGCGAATGAGTTCTGCCTTTTGTAAACTGAGTTTATCAATAATTTGTCAATAAATGAGGGCTAAAAACGTCACTTGCCCGCTGGACAAGTCAATTGAAAGATCTACTTGTCCGACATTGTAAATAACACGTCCCGGACGGTGGGACGTGTGCTTTTTCGCACACTGATTGTATTAACATACAATACCATGCTTTTTAAAAACGACTTAGGTCATATTTGTTTATTTTATGGCATAGCCTACTATACTATAAAGCTGTTGTATTTTTAAACACCATGCAATTTGTTATGACATACTATAGCACAACTTTTTTTGCAAACTATATTAGTACTTTTAATGGCATTTCTAATATTTATATTTCATTTTGGCATAGTATAAGTATATATAAGATATTTTGAAATGTTTATTAAATGACACTTTTTCTTTAAATGTTCATCACATAACGAAATATTAAATAATACGTTTTAGTTGATATTATTGAATTATTTTTATTTTTATTTAAGACTTACTGAGTTGTAGTTTTTCACAATGAACACATGAGAGCAGTATAACTACTCACTCTGGTCCCCCTTCACCAGACTAACGCCTCTGGTAGCAAACTAATCAAATTAAATGACCATGTGTGTTTGTAATATGGCTACCCCCAAAGTTAAACTTTAGAGTTATCATGCACATTAGCATACCTCATCACCAAACCCACTGATTAAGTAATGCTAACATTAAAGCAGCATGTGTGTGTGTGTGTGTGTGTGTGTGTGTGTGTGTGTGTGTGTGTGTGAAAATAATAATTACATTATATTATTATTCCTTTGAATTCATACAAAAACATTTAAAAGAATGAATAATACAATTAAAACTAACGTTGGTGAAGCTGCAGTCACTTGACACGCAGTACAGGGAAATTAGACAGGGGTTGGTCAATTATAATACAGATATGATAGAAAATAGTGTGTCAATCTTAAATTGCCTTTCTTCCTTTCTTTCTCTCTCTTTATTTATTTATTTATTTCTTACTCTGATTTTTCTTTCTTTCTTTACAGTCACAATTTTCAGAAAAGATAAAGCCATAATTCACATCACATTCCGATACAGTAGGTGGCGCTATCTGACTTTTAGTGTGATTTAGACCCGCCAGTTAGTCCCACGAAGAAGAAGAGGAGTTGTGTGTGTGTTTTCTGCAGAAGTCCAGCATTAATAAGGTCCCATTGTTAATCTCCAGCATGGGTTTAGAAGCCTGGTTCATGGACAGCTCTGAGGAGGACCAGAGGAAGCCTCACAAACTGACCCCGGACCAGCCCGTCTCTCTGGAAGAACTACGGCAGCTCGGGGTGTTTCACTGGAAGGTACGTGAACGTTACAGCCTGTCAGCTGCTGCCTTCAGGTTCCAACATAACAGTGAACAGATTAAGTTAAACACGTACAACTGTGATTTGACGCCGAGTTGAATCCCTAACAGAATGTCTGTGAACAGTTATTCAGGTTACACAAATATTGTGTTTTTCAGCGACTTCCTAGGGACAAAAAACGATATTGTTGTTGTAGTTATTAAACTATTGAGTTCATACCATAGACTGTATACGCAGTAAGCTATGAGCGTTTGGGACAACCATAACACAAATAAAGAGATGTTTTGTTTTTGCATTTGGAGAGGGATGCCTAAATGTCGAGAATAAATATGAGCAACTATAGTGATTATACATTCAAAGTTAAACCATCGCAAGAATAAAGTCACACTGTTGAAATGTTAAGAAGAAAGAAGAAAAAAAGAAGTCGAAATGAGGAGAATAAAGTTATAATCAGGTTTATGCAATTTCGAGAATAAAGTAGAAATGTGGAAAATGTATTACTGTTAATTAATTAATTAATCTACTGCAAATCCTACTAGATCCCCCCCAGCTTTCGATTCTTTATAGATATTATAACCAGTGGCCAAGCATTAGAATCTGTCATGTGGTAAAAAAAAACACAGAAATTAGTTGTTCTTTTCAAGTTACTGCAGTTTATTTCATACTGCTAGCCAGCCCCATTCATTATTCTAACGAATCTATTACGATTACATAAGACTCCCAGACTGCTAGCATGGGATTTGCTGTTGTGATGTGTAACAAATGATCGTAAATGATTTTGGTTACAATTGTTTATTGATCAAAGCTGTTGTCTTTTTCTTGCAGCTGAATGCTGATATCTACGAAACAGACCCAGAGCTGGAGAAGATCCGTAAAGACCAGGGCTATTCCTATATGGACATAATCTCCATTCACAAGGACACACTTCCTAACTATGAGGAAAAGGTGACGAAGCATTGTAATATCTGTGCATTTTAAACCAGACACTCTTCTCTAATAATGAAACTGTTGAATAGTCAGAAAGGACTCTTCATTTGAACTAGATTTAAGTTAAATGTCTGCACTGCATTAGAAGATTTTATGACCTGTGGAAATTAGTATAATGCTCTACAGTGGTTTATGACATTTAAATGACCATTGTTCTCAGTCAGTGGTGACGGCTATAACACATTAGGACAGCTAGTACTTGAACTGTCTCGAAACCACCACTAATTCAGGCCTATTTCTCTCTTTATGTCTGCGCTCAGCTGAAGAGGTTCTTCGAGGAGCACCTGCACCTGGATGATGAGATCCGCTACATCCTGGACGGCCAGGCCTACTTCGACGTCAGGGACCAGGAGGAGCGGTGGATCCGGATGGCCATGAGAAAAGGAGACCTGATCACCCTGCCGGCCGGCATCTACCACCGCTTCACCCTGGATGAGACTGTACGTATCACGCATAAATGTCATGGACAAGTAGTACCATTGCAAGTAGTTACCTGCATTTTGCTTATATTAGGAGCTGTAGATGAGCTAGAATTTCAATAAGGCCTGTGGAGAAATGAAATAATAAATTTGAAAAGATTAAGAGTACAGAGAATATCGATAGCCATCCGCCTGGTGTGTTTCAAACAGCATTATACAAACAAAAGTTAGCAAACAGCATTTATATTACCAAACATATGAAATGTATCATTAATGCATTACATTTACCAATATTCTACATGCATTTCTCTTTTGTCTAAGTGTGGTGACTATGGGATGTGTTAGTACTATCAGAGTTGTAATAACTGTTGCAACTGGCATGTGAAGCTTTGTTTTGATTTATTTCCCACTTACAGGAAGTTCACGTTGACGTTGAGAGATGAACTGTGTCCGTTTTCTTTCTTTTAGGGTGTTGGTTTCTAATCCTGAATTCCTTTTTTAAAATGCAAAAAAAGGAATACATTACCCGCAAAATGACCATTTGTTTATCACCCAGTGTTACCTTGAATTCTTGAAGAAAACATATTTTATTATCACATAGCCCCATGGTGAATGAAGGAACCTGGAACAGAGAAAACACAGAGAACAATAGAAAACTGCATCACATTGTCTGTCCATACATTCTAACAACTTGTAGAGTATAGTAGAAATGTCATGCTTACTACTTCCCAAACACATGCATTTTCAGCTACTATTACCTCACTGTTAACTAACACTACATTTAAAGCCTAACCCTCATTCTGACATGGGGAGGCAGAGCTGTCCTTCTGACTGACCGGCTCTCTGTTTGTCTCTACAGAACTACACCAAAGCCATGAGGCTGTTTGTGGGGGAGCCGGTGTGGAAAGCGTATAACCGGCCCGCTGATGACTCTGACATCCGCAAGAAGTATGTGACATCTCTGCAGGGATGCTGAGAGGGGACTGTGCCATTCATCGAAACGTGGATCCAATATGAACACTGCTGCTACCAGAATCAGGGCCTTTATTGTGATTCTGTAGAGTTTACAGTTAGAATGTTAAGAATCATACTGTGGATGATTTAAGATCTCCTCTAGCCAAAATCATGCACCAAGATGCTTTCTAGTTGAGAATGACTTAATGTAGCCTAGATTTAGAAAATCGTGGATGTGGGTTTTCTCTTTCCAGTTAATCCTTCTACTTTTCTGTTAGTAGTTATGATTCTGCAGATGAAACGCATGATTAGATCGTAATGTGTTTTATATTCTGTGTACTGACATACACTACCCAACCACAGGTTCCTCCATCTTACTCTATTTACATGACTACATCTAGATTTACATCTAGCTAAAAAGCTATAGCTTTGCTAAACTGTGAAATCTTATCCTAGCTTAAATTGATTATTGTCAAAGCAACCACAAAAGGAGGATTAGCATCATAGTAAGCAGCTACATTAAAATGGAATGACTGACAACTTATGTAACATAAATGAACATACTTTGTAACATTTCAAAGGGGTCATTCTTCACTTATTTAGGGTGAAATACTTGTTCCAGCACAGGACAATCCTTGTAATCTCAGAGAAGCATGTTGAAATATACCACTAATCTGCATTATTTACTGATTTTATATTCAAACCTTTAAATCAGAATTTAGAGATGTCACTTGAGGTTCTTCTCCGCACCAATGGAGTGGTTTCTGACAGATTTACATACATTTTTGTTGTATGGATAATAAAGCTGCTGCTATTTTCAACATGTGCTTTGTTTCTTTATGATCTGACCAGACAAGTTGATTTTAAAATATGTTTTTTATTTCAGATAAAACACAATTGAATATACATAAATATGATCAACACAATATGTAAACAGTGATAGTTTAAAGATCCATCAGGACAAATCAATAAAAGATTTAACAAGACAATCTTTATATAATAACAGAAGAAGGGAAAAAAAAATCTGATATGTACACATTTTGATTCTTAATATTTTACAGTTTAGTGAACAGGATGGGATGCAATCAGAAGGGCTTATCTATGTTCTGAGTTAATAAAGCTGGCAGCTGAAATGGAGTGGTGTTGGACTGTTAATCCAGCTGTACAGGTGTCTGCTGGGGAGGAAGCTTTGGACCTCTGGTACTTTATTAGTCTTTAAGCATACTGAAGCTCAGGATAATGCCCGTGTCAGGACTCACATTATGAGTCTGCAGCTCCCTTAAAACCACTGCCGGTCTGTAGTGCAATGTTCATCTGAGGTCTCGCTTCCAATCTCACAACGCTTAATGCTCATAATTCCTCAGTGTCCAGAAAATCTTTGATAAAAATGTTGAGGAACATTTTAACATTTTGAGAAATACAGAGGAGAATAACTATAACGCTAGCAGCCTGTTAGCTTAGCTTGTTAGCTTAAATTAGCACAAAGAAAGCAATGAGGGGAAAATGGCTAGCCTATAAAATGTGTTTTTTTTTTTCTCGAGTGACATTACAAGGTTAGCTTAATAAATATGAACATTGCTGTCACTGGAAAACAAATAGCTGGTTGGCATTTCCTTATCACTGTCATTCAAATGTAATGAATGCATTGTCTATAAATAACTTCCTGTTGATCTAACTTTAAAAAGGTTTCTATATTGCAATTGCATTATCACAGAACTTTTCAGTTAGCATAATATTAAGGGTGCAAACACGGGTGGTATGGATATTCTCATCTAGCGTATTTCTCTAAATGTCAAGCTGTTCCTTTAACTGTAAAATAAAACTACTTCCACACACATGATTTCTAATGTAGGGTCATTTCTTTTCCGGAATGTCATTCCACCACCTGGGTTTCTGTTACTGTGACGAAATGTGTGCATCATTACAGGGTCACCTTTCAAAAGGAGAGAAGTGCCATGACATGAAGAGAAACATGTCTTTGGGCTTTCCACTTCTATTTTGTAGAAATAAAACCAGTTCTGGAAGACCTTGTGATAACTGGTAACCACATCAAGACAGAAACACTCACTTTCTTTCTCCACATGTCCACCCCTCTAAACATTCTACTCCTGCTGCTGTATTCCGGTCACACGTGATGCTGATGTGTATGTCCTCTCACACCAGCTTGAGGCACTGCGTGTTGAAGCTGTCCCCCTCCCTGCAGGCCACGGCCTCCAGCAGAGCCTGCTTCTTCTGGGTGCTGCGGGACGACTCCAGCTCGTACATAGTGGTCAGGTTGAAGAGGACGCTCTCGTGGAGGTAGAGGGCGGGGTCCTGCTGCACCAGGCCCTCCAGCTGGCCCAGGGACTCCTTCAGACAGCCCAGGTAGAGCAGGCACACCGCTGCGTTGTTGTTGGCCTGGGAACAAGGGAGGGGAGGGAGGGAATGGGTGAGGACGGGAGAGTGTAAATCATAATTCTTCCATCCAGTATTTAACTATATTTACTGGGGTGAGCTACAGTAATTGTAGAGTTCCAAATATGCATCTTTCCCTATAACTGCTAAAGTAACCCTTTGAAATTGAGGTGCTAGTAGGCAGATTTTTGTTTTTGGAGAAAGGCTAGCTGCTTTAACTGCTTTCATTCGTTATGCTAAGCCAAGGTACATTTAGCTGCACTAAGCTAAGCACCTTCTGGCTCCAGTGGTGAAAAGTAGTGCAATTTGTCAAGTAGTGTACAGTTATTAAAATGATTTACTTTTTACCATTTCTATTGTCTGCTACTTTATATATCTACTCTACTACATGTCAATGGCAAATATCTTTTACTCCCCAGATTCCGATTATTAGAGTAGAATATTATCGACAAATAAGCTAAAATGTATTATTTTTAGATTAAGAGGATGAACTACTTAAAAATGTCCTAAAATAAATAGGGGTTTTCCCTTTCCTGTAGTGTTTTATAAAGATTTGTGTACATGTAAATGATCTGCAAGGGCTTCCAAAGTTCCCTCCAGGAAGTTTCTCTCCCATTCACTCCCCCCGAAACACCTCCATTGGACTCTTTTTTTAAAACTTCCCTTCTATAGTGACATCACTATGTAACACTCACGCTTCTATTGGCCAATGCTCCAACACATCGTACGTTATAGGCTTTTTGATTATTGAAGCGTGTCACAGTAGAGGCAAAAAATACAATTATGAAACCTGAAATGAGCAAAGTATGTCCTCTTTAAGTAAGGTATTGAATGCAGGAGTTTGACCTGTAACAGAGTATTTCTACATTGCAGTATTACATTTGTTACGTAGCAGAATATCTCAGTATTTATTTTTAGTGCCTGAATCACAGGGCCAGATCTTAGGGAATCTCAGCTAAAACTGTCTCTACATATTAAGACAAAAATATAGGCATTGTTTTCGCCAGATTGATAAAACCACATGTAGGCTATATGCCGTTAATAACTGTGCAATATATACCTGGCTGCTAAATCCTAAGAACTGTTACAGGATGTGTATTTTGTAAATTGTGTAACTTTTTATTTTTTATTATATTCTTTATTATATCATAACTTTTTTTTTAACTTAGTACTTTTTAATGCATGTAACATATGTAACATTAAGCTGTCTGTGGCTCTTTTTCTGCTGTAACAACGTCAAATTCCCCTCTGTGGGACTAGGTATTCTGATTCTTTTTTATAAATCTGTAAACAACTGTAGCGCTCGGCACAAGCTTGAACTCTACAGTTTGCAGTAAATGGAAGTCGAAACACCCTTAATAATCAGTTTGCATGTTGATACTTTGGCCTGCTCCATCACTTATTAGACCCATCAGGATGAAGAACGATGAGGAGGAACTAAAACATCCCAGATTGTGTTGCTTCAACGAGGTTCTCCATCAGCACGGGAACAGCTGTCATTACCGGGCGGTGGCTATGTATAGAGCCCATAGCACTAACTCATCACCTGTATCTGTAATCCATCACTGCCGCGGTATCTCAATCATCATTATTAAACGCCAGAGGGATGATCACTGATTGATTTATAGAGCTCATATTCAACCAGGCTTTTCTGGATAAAATGAATAGATCACTGACAGGGGAATGACGGATTACATATTTGTTCAAATAATAACGTAATGAATGAATTTGAAAAATAAATGTGTTTTTGATTGATATTTTACAGACGTTGTTTACAGAGCAACTTTATATTTGACTTCGACTTAATGTGGGTCATTAAAGGTCCCATGTCATGCTTTTCAGGTTATTACCCTTTTGTGTTATGTAGCTTTTTCTGCATGTAAACGGTCTGCAGAGTCACAAACCCTCAAAGTACACCCTGTAGCGAGTAAAACTCTAACACAGAAAAGACCTGTCTATGCTGCCCCAGAACGCCTCGTTGGAGATTTCTCTATTTCCATTGTTTACTTCTTGGGTATAGTGACGTATTTCGGGTATAGTGACGTAACGTAACGTAACGGCTCCGCATATTGGTCCGTTACGTTACGTCCGCGGAGCCGTTACGTTTGGCCCAATCCGCGGACTTCCTCACACACACACTCGGTTGCGAGGCTCGCTGCTGCGAGGAGCGGGACACTGTGAGCTGGGCACACACACAAACTCCCAGCCAGGCTGCGGGTGTGTGTGTGTGCCCAGGCTGAGTTTCGCTGTGTCTTGCTGTCTCGCAGACGGCCACTGGGCTCACAGGGAGGGGGGGGCAGGAGCTCCAACAAGCCGTTTAGGACAGAGAGTGAATACACATACTATACAGAGATGCTGTATGAGAAACCAATGTGAGTTTGGAAAATTGCACAATATAAATCTATTTTAGTATACCTCAACAATGGAATTATGATCAGTAGAAATGGCCATGACATGGGACCTTTAAAGCTGCTGTAGAGGAAAAGACATGGTGGCACTTACAACGGGGTTCTTTGGGTCAATCTTTAAGACTTCAGTGAAGGATGCGTGTGCTTCAGTGTAGTTGTTCTGACTGAGGGAGACAAAGGCCCTGGAAAACACACATACACAAACAAACAGTTAATACATCAACAAACAGTAGTGTGTATTGATCATATTTGTGAAATGGAAAAAAACCTTGTTTATTTCAATCATGCCATGTTAAAATACACATAAAATAAATAAATGTATATACTATATTAATGTGTTATTATTACATATTTTTATATATTAAATCTATAGGTCATCATTCTAGAGACATGTAGAGCCGCTTCCTAGGCAGAACAATGCTAGGCTGCTATGAAAACATGCTAGCTAGTGGGATGTATTTTATGATCCACAGCCGCCTTTGAAATCAAGCTAATTCGGTTGAAATATCTTAAACAGAAAAGCTTAATCTCCAGAGTGAGTCACTTCGTTATTGCTTAAAAGTTGAGGTTAATACGTTTTACAATGAGCAGAGTGTATTACAGAACATAAGGTAAGGCAACCACAATGATCCTTTAAGTATAATCTATTAACTACAGCAGGACAACTCTAAAGCATTCAGCCTTTTATCACAACTGAGACAACAAAGTCTCAAAGAAATAAAGAAAACAACTTAAGAGTGTATCTAAATAAACAAAAAATTACTGCATATATACTGTAATAAACATGTGATTTATTCGAATTGTGCAATTTTTTTTTACTAAACTTCTATTGTCTCTATATATGTTTTTATTGTATTTTATTAGATTTGATCTTTTATTGGACATTTTACCTCAACATCCTATATATATATATAATTATCTTTATTATTTTCATTGTACATTATTAGTTTATTTTCTTATGTTTTTATTACAATTTTTTTCTTTCCATTCTGAAATGGAGCAACTGTACCAAACCAAATTTCCCCCGGGATAAATAAAGCATTCTGATTCTAATATTATCATCTGCCTTTGTGAAGTGAGCGTCAGAGCACCCAGTGGGAGTGAGATAAGGTGTCACCGGAGGTTTGCTTCAGACTCCACATGTCCTCAGGCCAGAGCCACAGAAGGTGTGACCTCCTGAGCTAGATCACACACCAGAGGGAAGCCCCGCCCTGCGAACAGCCCTGAAGGATGACGGCTGTGTGGAGTGAAAGTGATCCTGAGCAGCGCAAAGTAAACATGCTGTGTGCGCAGGTGCTAAACGACCACACTCTGGTACCTGTTCATCAGCACGCATGTGGTGTGACTGGGCTGGCTCCCTGTCATCTGGCACGCCTTCTCCACGTCCTGGAAGTACCTCTCTGCCGTTTTAACGTCTCCGATCTGGCAGAGAACAAAGCATCAGCAGCACATTAACCACTGATCTGTGTGTGTGTGTGTGTGTGTGTGTGTGTGTGTGTGTGTGTGTGTGTGTTGTAAAATCAGGCAAGCACAAATATATTGGATCAGATTTCAGGTTCCCCCAGGGCAGACTTCTTACATCAGCTAAGAATACATACAGAACCATTACTGAAGGTAATAATGATGACAAAACAAATATATCTATCTAGTACAGCACAATAGAGTGATGCAGGATTGATGTTTTTCTAGGCCAAACAGGAAGTAGCACCGTTTCCTTCAACAGAAAGCAAATTGGATTTAGTCTCATTATAGAAAATAAGCTCTGTGGCCAAACGTATGATTCTTACATGTTTTCTTCAGCAAGAAAATCATCATAATGAACACTACTTTCATGATTTGTACAGCGTAATTGCAGTTATTGTGTAAGTGTAAGTGTTAGGAACGTCACCATCCCTAAGTAGAAATGTTTCCCTGTGTTGGGAGGGATACAAATTGCGCTATCAAAGGTGTATTCAAGTATATGCAATGTATTATTATGTAAGATAAAATGCATCCTTAATGGAACATCCAGCTTGCTACAACAAAAACATGTTTCACGGAGGGACTGTTGCAAGATAATATAAATGACAGCAAATTAGCAAAATGTCACTGTATGAGCAGACTGGGCTCTGGTTTCAGACAGAGGGTGAAAAGAGGTTCTGCAGCACCGGAAAAATAAAGACCTTTTTGAACATTAACATGTCACAGTAGAGTAGAGTAATACAAAAAGGAACCTGAAATGAGCATAATAGGGCCGCTTTAAAGGGTTCACAAGCTGTGCTGTGGCATAGTGTGTGTGTGTGTGTGTGTGTGTGTGTGTGTGTGTGTGTGCGTATGTGCGTGTGTGTGTGTGTGTGTGGTGTGTGTGTGTGTGTGCATGTATGTGTGTGTGTGTGTGTGTGTGTGTGTGTGTGTGTGTGTATGTGTGTGTGTATGTGTGTGTGTTAATGTTTGGACCTGCAAGAAGATGCGTCCTATGCCACTGAGCAGCTGCACTCTCTGCTGGGGTTCGTACTGGATGATGGAGTGATAGGTCTCCACAGCCAGAACATAGTCCTGAGAGAGAGAAGAGAAAGAGATCAACAAAACAAAAAGTTAAATAAATAATACAAAAGAAGAGCATGGAGGGCAACGAAAGTAAAGACGGAAGTTAATAAAGAGTGGGGAAAACAGTAGGAGGTGGAGACAGGTGGAGGGCGTGCGAGGTAAAGGAGATGAGAGTGGAGGTGAGGAGGGAGAGACGGCATTAATCAAACATATGGAGTATTAGCTGGCCGCTGTGACCCTCTTCCCACCTCCACATCGCTCACATGGTGACTGCACTGCTGAGCGGACGGCCGAGAGGTCGGAGAGGAAGGTGTGTGTGTGTGTGTGTGTGTGTGTGTGTGTGTGTGTGTGTGTGTGTGTGTGTGTGTGTGTGTGTGTGTAGAGAGAGGGGACAGGGCTGGGACAAGGTACAGGTTTCTTTTTGTTATGGCTCACACACACTCTGTTGTTTATTTTTGGCTGGAGTCCACGCACCGTCCTGCTGCCAGAAATACTCACTTGAACAGCAATTGTAGATTAATACGCCCCTGAAAATAGTCCCCATACATTTTCTCCCGTGAGAGTAACAATTGCTCAAATCTAGGAAATGTATGAGTGTTTTTTTAACATTACAAACAATATGGATTTGTTCTGTTTTACATTTTTCAGTAGGAAACATCAGGCTTTGAAGTTTTGGGGGATAAACTAGGATATTGATGGGTTTTGAGATTTGTAACAATAAAAATACCATCATACTCAAAATGTAACTACAAAAGTTTGCACAATATTATTGTAGCACATTCTCTAATCCATGGAGTACAGTCTCAGATATTTTAAAATCTTTTTTTAATCTTTTTTTACGAGACAGTTACAGACCCTGAAACGAATAGATGAATAGAAACTAGTGGATTCCTTTTTTAGATATTTTACTTAAGAACCATAATGTTTGTAGGATTTTTAATAAATATGCTACAACATAAATAATGTCATTATTACGGAAGGGAGAGGTGAGCAAAATGCAAGTAAAGTTGAGCCTAGCAGTACATTTATGTTACTGTAATCTCAGTGTGGACCAGTAGATGGCACTGTGGTTCTCTCTAACTCTGATGAAGTCACCACCCTGATCTCTCTCTCTCTGCGTGTCGCTTTCTCTCTTATTTGCTCTCTCCCTCTCTGACCAAGAATCCAATTAGTGGTCAGTCTGGGGGGATTTCACTGTGAATCCTCCACCAGCCTGGCATCAGAGATCTCCGCGTCTCACACACACAGAAACACTCCGGCAGACGCACACACACACACACAGGGGCACATTCGCCGATACACAACCTCGACTTCACAAATACACACACATACCTTCATCAGCAGCAGGCAGTTGGCCATGGAGTACATGACCCGGCTGAGACGAGACCTCCACAGCTTAAGAGACCCTAAAAGCAGGGAGAGAAGAAGAAAGAGCGTTTATATCTTAAACAGCGACTTCCTGTTCTCATTTCACCTGCTTCTTTTTTTTGGGGCGCCCCTCTAACATCACCTTTTTTCCATTCATTGCTCTTATCCCTCTCATTAAACCTCCCCTCTTCCTCCCCCCCCCCCCCCCACACCAGTTTATTTTAAGGCGAGGTGGTGAGGAAGACACTGCGGCACACTCTGCTTTCTTCCCTCAGACAGTGCACCCTGTGGAAGAGTAAGTGTGCAGGCCTATTAGTATTCATCGCTGCACATGTGTGTGTGTGTGTGTGTGTGTGTGTGTGTGTGTGTGTGTGTGTGTGTGTGTGTGTGTGTGTGTGTGTGTGCTTGGGAGGAGAGCTAATCACTCAGTAGGGGTCTGATGTGTGAAGGCAAGGCCCCGCGTTATTGACTTGTCGACTGTCGACTGTCTGCGTGGGTAGAGAGAGGAGAGACAGAGGGCACAGCTATTACGCTGCTTTTAGAAGGGGAGGGACTGCCAGCGCCGGCGCACCCTCACGCGCACACACACACACACACACGCACACACACACACGCATGCGCAAACACGCGCGTCACCCTGCCAATTTTCCCAATTATAAGCAAGTGTCTTGGTACATTTAGCTCAACTTCACCAAGTGGCTTGTTGTTGTTCATCGCCGTGAATTAGCTGATTAAATTGCTTGTAAAAAAAGAAAGAAAAAAGAAGCCTTTGGAAAAGTTTCTTAATTAGCGGTCACATGGCTTGGTAACATAAGACTCACTGCATTAAGATGTATTGCTGTGTGGAGAAGAGAGGAGGAAGTCTATTTGCATCATGTCGTGTGGAGGTGTGTCTCTACCTAAAACCGGTGGATTTCAGATGCAGGCGCCCATTTCCACAGCACACTTGCAGATGTGAGTGGATTGGATGGGATTGATCTGTATTGATCTGTTTGGCGTGAAGGGCTGGAGAGACCATTTGATATTCAGCGCGGGTGCCCGAGCAGTGAGGTGCTAAACACATTTAGAGCACCGCATCGCTGTGTTTATGTGGTGTGTGTATGTGTGGCTGAGGTATGCTGCAGTCCTGCACCAGGTGTGCCTCCGACTCAGTGCTAGTGTGTTACCCATGACCTCACTCTCCTCCCACAGTGTGATGCAGTCTGGGACTGAGGCCAGGTCTGTATCCAACTGGCTGTGTGCGTACGTGTGCGCGTGCGTGTGTGTGTGTGTGTGTACTTACCTTGCCTATTCTCCTGTGTCAGGGTGATCATGCTGCCATCCTCAGCCAATCCTTTCTCCAAGTTCTCCAGAATCTATTAACAGGGGCGGAGGGAATTCAAACTTTTTATGTCTGTATTAGAATCTGCATATTTAATGACTTTAAAATCCAAACCATATTTAGCTGTTTACACAGGTGGGCTTAAGGCTTTGTACGTGCTTTTTCTGTGTTGTTTTATTGTGTGAATGCTACAGAGTATGCATATTTTAATGTTCATCCAGAGGCTGTTTCCGTGCCCGTGTGTGTGTGTGTGTGTACTAACAGCGAGGCAGACGGTTTTGAGATTGTGCAGGCGGTCCAGAGCCTCTTGGGGCTTGGCCAGGTACTGGGGAAGCTCGGCGTGCAGCAGCCGCATGGAGAACGGCACCATGGAGCCTGGACGGGAGGGGGGGAGGGAGGGAAGGACAAGAAGAAAGCAGAACACAGGGGTTGAAAATGTGCAAGGAATAAAGGGGGGAAATAAGGAATAGGGTAGAATGAGGACATACGAGAGGAAGAGGGGAAGAGAAGGAAGGCGGAGAGAGACGCAGAGAGACACAGAGCGCGAGATGAGAATATAAACCCATCCACCCACACACAGACAGCACACAGCCCTGGAGGCAGGAACCTACAGATGGCATTGAGCTACGTATGGCTGCTTATTAAACCCTCTCATCTCTCTCTCTGTGTGCTGCACAGCTCCATCACTCATCTCCCTGCCTCATCCCTCTGTCTCTCCCTGCCTCTACATCATTCACACACACCCCCCCCCCCCCCCACCCCCGAGGAAGAGCCTGTATTCAGGTGAGTTCCTGGGCTTTGATCAGGGTCTCTTTGATATTGTCATCAGACCTGAAGCTCAGCTAGCTGGTCCATCTTGATCCGTCTGTGGATCTCCATTTCCATCTCTGTAGAATATCTGCCTGTGCCGTCTATCCAACACATCCAGAAATATTCACCATTTACCCCAGTGTCTCTATTACTGCATCCTGTTACCATGTCATATTTTAGTGCTGAGTGGACAGCTCATTCTCTCTTGGGTGTCAGAAAGTTTCATCAGCTTAAAATTAAGACTTTTAATACCTTTAGTGTCTGTTCAAAGTTAACTGTTTGTGACTAAGATGGAAAACAACCCAGGGAATCATTGAACAGACCCATAAAAACTCAAATAAAAGATACCGTGTTAAGCTTTGTTAATTCTGGAAACTATTTTAGATTTAGTCTATTCTTTAGACAGACGTACTTAATAGTTCTAGTGACTCGAGTCATTTGTCAACAACTAAAAAAGTTGGAGTGCAATTTTAAAACTACATTTTAGTCTCGTCTAATACAACAATATTATATTATATTATATTTCTTATTGATATCGTCATAGTAAAATCGTCTTGTAATGAAAAAAGGTTTGTTGCCCTACATATTTCCTCCCATTTTTTGTTGAATTTAAGTTTTTGATTAAAAGTGGCGCTATAAAGCAATATACATGACGAGGTACAAACAGTTCCTATCACATCAGCATTTATGATAAAACTTTGTACCAGGTTTCATTGATTTAAATATTTCTTTGGAAGTTGATGATACAAAGTTTTTTTTTTTATGTAAAATTGTTCTCCTTCAAGTTACCTACCTATTATTAAGCCACTGTTGGTAAAGAGAACTGTGTCAAATGTATCTAAATAAAAAAATAAGCAATATATTTTCCTCACCAGTCTAGTATGCATGTTCATCTTTTTATGGGCCTGACAAAAAACTGCTTTTTGTATTTTTAAATGTGTTATTTATTGTGTCATGTATATAGTGTTTTATATTTTAAGCGTATTGTTTTTATGATTTATTATTGAATTCTGACATGTATTTTAAAGTGTCTTTGAGTGTTTTCTTCATTGTTTTTAAAATGATCATTTATAAATACATTAATACATTTTTATTTTATTAGACCAGTTATAGAGCTGAAAAAAGGGCTCTCTGTAAAAGAACCTGGAAAGGTTAGCATTAGCCAAAAGTTCATTTTATTCTACCTGTGAGAAGGATTCAAGTAGTGTACAGGCTGGAAAAGGACATTAATGAATAGCCACTTGCCAGGCTCGCAGCATCCAACTTTTCATTTGGCAAACAAATTAATAAGTGACAAACATTGATTCCTTCTCAAGCGCCACGTTGATCTGAATTTGTACAGATAGTGATACATGGGCAGCCAACTCTTTACAGCCTCAAAGAGTGTGATCATGGGTAATAGATAGTCGATACAAGCGCTGGGCCGGAGAAATGTTCGACTTCTGATGCCAGGCTAAACAACGCGTGCCAGTTTGTCTGCGAGCACCTAGCAGGGCACAAAGCGTTTAAATTGAGCAACGGAAAGTCAATCGGTGCTCTCTTTCAGAAGGCTGTGTGTGCGGTGTAGCGTCAAGTGTCGAGTGTGTGTGTGTGTGCAGCTGTGTCTCCGCTACTGCCTTCACTGTGGTAGCCCGAGGGGCGAAGCAGATCCAAAGTAATGGGAATACATTAGAGAGCAATTCATGCAGTGTAAAAGAGGAAAAACAAAACCAAAGAACTGCTGGAGACAAGCAGTTGTTGGAGCTTCTCGACGATACAGTCTAATATCAAGCTCCTGGCAGAAACTTTCCTTTGAATATTTAATAGGACAGTGGTGGTATGCTTGTGTATCCAAAAAAAAACGTGGGTAAAATGCAAAATCCTTTTGGAGAGCAGGCTAATAACACATTCAAAGCTCACAGATAAGAGTTTCCGAGCAGCTTTTCGGCACTATCATGAATACCACTATTCAACCTTGAGTCAGCTTTCACACAGAATTCAAACGGCGGCTTTTGGAAGGAGGAAATATGAAAAGAGACGGAAACGATGCATTCTTTTACAATGTTACGTTTGTGGATAAAAGTTCCTGTGATTAACACCCAGAGTTCTCCTCCTACATTAAAGATCAAGAATTATTACCCCAAAGAACAGAGGCTGGGTTTGGTTATATATAAGCTGTGTGTGTGTGTGTGTGTGTGTACCTCTCCTCCCAGGGTAAACAGTGGGGTAGTACTCATAGAAGAGGTCCGGTTGGTCCAGGTTGCCGAAGGGCTCAATCTCCAGCTCAGCGTTTTGGAAGAGGTTCAGCTTGGTCAGGAGGGAGAGCCGCACAAACCACAGCTGGAATACACAAACACACACCCCTCCGTTAAGGGAATAAGACATTAATCAAATATTTAAAGTACAATTGAATTCCCTCCCGGCTAGTTCGCCAATATGTAGAAGAATGATATTAGCATTCTGTACTGTTGAAGGCATATGGGTTACGTTACACATTGCCCAACAGCTAGAGTTGAATCGAAATAATATGTATGACTATAGCAGGAAAATATCACTGTGACCCTGATATCATAAGACACAATATTAAGAACTAGGACAGGAATATAAGCTAATGTGAAGTCGATAAAGGTAGATCTGAACACAGAGAGGCAGGATTTTGTATTGTTGACCTGTATGAGTATCTGAATCAAATCAAAACCCGCTTTTGGCTGCACTCCGTCATGATTTGAGAAGTTGCGTTTTCTTCTTCAACACTATCTTGCTCTTAGATGACTGAAAATAAAATAATAAAAGTCAGCTTTGGTCAATTTAAGAAATGAAGAACATCCTCTTATTGGTTAAAGATAAAAGAACCAGACGAGAAAGCTCTGCATGATTGAAAGTGTCATGGCAGTACAGGGTACTATATGAATTAGAAAATGAAATCTAGAAATGTACCTATTCCCAAGAGTGAGTAGAGTAGTGCACTGCACCTGTAGCATGCAGTAGAAAGGACGCATACGTCTTTCGAATCAAACCTCCTAAATTCTTCCTTAAACTGTTAATATTTTCCAGTTAATTTGGTCAAAATCCAATTATGATTAACATGCTCAATCATTTAATACAATGTCTTGACTTTCATTTAACCCTCATAACGATTTTTATAAAGTCATTACATTACTGGGTTTTACATTGTTGCAGTATTAATTAAATCATCTGTGTTTCATACATTATTCAAATTATATTATGGGGTTGCAATCCTGATGCAATGTTTTCTTTTAGAACCAAACCAACATATTTTGATGGGGTTTTTTTTCAAGGGAAATACTGATAATTAAGACAAGAAAATCTGATGATGTAAGATCCAGCATTCATTTTCTTTTACCTGGATAAGGACGCTTAAATTGGGTTATTCAAGAATAATGACCGAGGCTATTTCACATGTGAATTACATTAATGAACTTCTACACATCTGGAGGGCACAGGCTGTTCCAGGTCCATGTTGTGAAAATGGTCTTGAGCCTTGGAGAGCACCTGGACAGAAGCCCAGGCCCATGAAGCTGTGTCCTGATGGGGTTGGGGATGGACTACTTCCAAGCCAGACACCATGAAGGAAGGATCCAGAAGCTCCTGAGCAGCATTGGAGCCCCCAGGGATTGTACACCTTAAAAAGGGGCCCTATAATCCCTTTCCTGTAGTGTGTTATATAGGTTATTGTGCATGTAAATGGTCTGCATAGGCTAAAATCCCAAAGTTTGTCTCCCACATAAGGTTTGTACACCTTAATGAAAATGATTTGATCATTTTAGACCTTTGTGATGGATTTAAAGATTACATTTCAATGATTTGTCTGTTTATTGTAATGGCTTTGAAGGTAGATATAAAAAAATGTTTCTGGTTTCGGTTGTATCCTCTGCCATGCATCTGTATGTTAGGGAATAATTTGCTTAGGTATTCAACCTTCGACCCAGTTCATCATTTTCTCTCTTTACTGTCTCTTCTCCCATGGCATAGGTCTACGGCCTTGGGGATTGCTGCTATCTCTCTTAAGGAGGAGCAGCTTGGGCGCATTGTTGTTGCCAGTCTATGACAGAGCACAAGCCGCCATGAGGTAGTTTACTGTTCAGGGACGTAGGTTCCCTGGCGCATATTCTTTTCTATTGACGAGAGCTCTAGTTAGATTCAGGGTCCATAATTGTTTAGTCTCACTGATAAAGAATGTTGATTATTACACTCCGAACTAGTTAAAACCTCGAGCTACAGAAAGAGTTCTTCAGAATTGGTTTGGCAACCGCTGTGTCAACTCGTGACACACCGCCTGTCTTGTCAATTCTCCGGCCGAAGCTCTAAATAAACCATCAGTGTTTGCCATCAAAGCTCCAGCTCTCCCCGTGTCTCCTTTTGAGTCGGTGACTCCTCCTGCATTGCTACACAGAAGTTTCCCCCACACTGTATACAAGTGTCTAAAGTAACTTTGTCCATGTTTATGTAACTTTGAATCGTGCAGTCTGTGAAAGTTCAGCACAGTGTAAATGTCCTGTGGGAAGAACAGTGGGTGGTAAAAGGTTAACAGCAATGCCCAATAGTCTTCATTTTTGCATATTGCTATTAATAACAATAATAAAATACATACAAAAAAAAAAGAAATGGACCACACATTTAAAACCCAGGATTTAAAAATGGTGCCAGGATGTTAAGGAACGCAAACAAGCAGTAATATGCAGCACGAGGCAACAACACGGTCGATTAACTGAAAGTCTCGTGCACAGAGCCTTCCACAGCGGTGGCCTTCTTAATGAGCGCATGCAGCCATCCATCTTCTGCATAGAGCTCCAAGAACAAGGGCTTTCAAAAATGTGCCAACAGCAACACACTGACGAAAAGGGACAACACAAAAAAACTAGCGACACAAAAACTAAATTCATCATAGCCCCCCTTAAATCTAATTGATATCATCAGTTCGGAAACAAAAAAAGGAATGAACTCTCATAACAAGATAAGAGGGTATTAAATAATTAGTCAAATACTTTATCAGTGAGAACATTTCATTTTTAAACACCAGCTAAAGACACATCTTTTTAGATGAGCTGTTTATTAGCAACCCCTCAAAGCACTTTGAGCTGCATGTGTTGTATGAAAAGTGCTATATAAATAAAGCTTTATTATTATTATTGCAAATTCTATTTCATTTCAAGTGCTTTTGGGGAATTATTACATTAATAAGTAGAACAGGACGTGCCTTGGCGTCACTGTCTTCCACCCACCAACGCTCTGAGAGAGGGACAGCTGAATGGAGGGATTGATGAAGAGACAGCGGCTGGCGTCTTACCTGCAGTGAGTCGGTGGTGTGGGAGCTCTGCTGGCCGGCCTTCCCGTACCCCTGACCATGAGCTGTCAGCAGCCGGCCCGTCAGATCCACCGCGGCCCGCCAGTTCTTGCTGCTCTGCAGGGGGAGAAGAGACACACTGGATCTGAGACACACACCATGACTGACGGATGGCAGCACAGAGGAAGACCTGCGGCTATATCCACGGGGTTCCAGCTATCATAATCACAAACACACTCAGTAGGACGCATCTCTAACTAACAAGGTATCACTCAGGAAAGAAAAAAACAGCTTGTTTCAAGAATTCAAATGCATCAATCGGACACATTTTTTCACAGAAGGACGAATGTTTCAACAACTTGTAAGCAAAGGATAATTCTTGTTTATCACACCTGGGTAAAATGTAGTATTCATAATTACGCATATCAACTAAATTGACAGATACTTGATCTTTATTAATACTTCATATTTGAATCAGAGCTTTTTTATGTCAAATCCCAGGTGGGAAAACCACAACATGGAACATATTTGAACAGAGGGAATTCTCAGTGGAACAGTTATGCAATTAGGAAAAAGCAGGAAATCCTAAAAGACAATGTGAAAAAAAAAAATCAAAGGCAAGTAGCTTCTTGAGGCCTTGAATTTACAGCGGATAATTTAGATAAGAAAATAAAGGGATGTTTCATTCTTACTAATTATTATATGTGATCTGACAATGTGACAGCTATTACTGCGAAACAAAAGTCCCTACGTATGAAATGAAGCTGTTGGAAGAGAGTGTTTCCACCTATGTGTGGAGCTGCCAGCCATCGAGACTGGAGGACAAAGCATAAACACAGTGTACTACTGAGCATGCGCACACACACACACATTCCTCGATATTAGCAGCATCTGCTTCCACAGGAGGTGGTACAATAGGTAAGAGGGGGACAGAGGTGGGGAGGTAGAGTCACCCCACCCCATCAACACACATGACAAGGTCGGCTTGCCGATTGGGTCCTAAGTGCTGCGCCATTCATCACAGCCAGGGAGCTAATTAGGGGAGAGAGGACGAGAGGAAGAGAGAGAGCTACTTCCTCTCTAGTCATCTTTATCACAAAACTCATCAGCCTTTTTCCTCTTGTAGCTGTCCTCTCTCCCCCATTCATCTTCCCTCCTTCCCTTCCCCTTTTTTTTCTTGCCTGCTTCTCTGCTTCAGAATTCTGCCTACTTTTCTTCCCTTCCATCTTCCTCCTCTCCCTCTGACCCTCATTTCTGCCTTCCTTTCTTCCCGCTGTCATGGCTTCCTCCCCTATAGCTCCTTCCTCATTCCTCATTCCTCTCCTCTCCTCTCCTATCCTGTGCCAGTAGCAGCGCTGCCTCTGAATCTTCATTAGGGAGGGAAATGAAGCTGAAAACGAGGAGGCAGCCTGGATGGCCAAAAGCAGCTGCACTCACTCTCTCACACACACACTCACACACACACACGTCGTACAGTATGCTATAGTACACCACTGCCCAGCCACAGGGCATGAGCAGAAAGGTGTGCTAGCGTGTTTATCTGAATATCTGTGTGAGATTTGGATTGGACGCGTAGAGGCAAAGTGAGAACTGTTGAGATAGGACACAAACGGATAAGGAGTTTCAAACGGCAGACAGGCAGGATATGGATGGATACAAAATCTGGCCAACATGTAGCGAAAAAGCCCAGAAGTCAAAGTTGGACATAGTGGAAGGAAGAAGAAAAAAAGAAGAAGCAGAAACTCTGTCCGAAAAGAGTTGGATGAAGAAAAAAAGAGCAGTGGGTGGCAGAGTGGAGAGCAGAGGATGAGTAGACGAGAGCTGAGGGCCAAGGGAACTGCAGAGAGGCACCACAAGGGGCCAAAGTGAAAAAAACACACCAGAAAGTTGGAAAAGTGAACTTTAGCTCAGGCCTTATATAACGGTGCAGCATGCCGCTACCACAGCTTTATGGTCTGATATTATCTTACACCAGCCTATAATTTTAGGTCTTGAACCATACCGATCCTAACCTAGCATTACAGGCGTACAGAGATACAGGAGCTGTGATTAGAGTAGACAGCGGGCGGGCTCTGTGTTTTCAAGAGGCGATCTGCCGTTACCAGAGGGCCACAGGGTCAGTCTCCATTAAAGATGGTATGTGATCGTGAGCAACCTTGAGACAGATAATGACGGATGTCTCTGCTTCTCTGTCATCTCTTATAGTTGAACCTGAGCTCTGACCCCCTGATGAACAAAGTGCCAGAACATTTACAGAGTGGGCTGTGTTCAACATCTTAATATTCTTTCAGTTTCATTCGTGGACATTTCGTCAAATAGCGTTCTTCCATAGACCTGGCATAGCATGCTTTAGCCATTGTGCTGTGCTAATCCGTTATCACATGAGTTTCTACAACAAGGCATTCCCAAACTGAGCCACACTTTGGTTGTCCTTCTTTTTAGAAGGGCCAATTGGGACCAATGCGTTTCAATCTACTCCCTCAAAATAAGCAATGTCTAGCACGTGATGTTAGGGTGATGCCTATAGAGAATACATGAACCATTTCTCTTGATGAAAGACTTAAAACCTAATGTAACTTCCATTAGCATTCCAACATGTTTACAATGACACCGCTAACATGCTGATATTTAGCAAGTCATGTTTTTGGTAAAAAAATGTAACTGCTGATGTCACCAGAGATGAACATTAATTCACCCTGAGGTAGACATAAATGTGTATACCCAATGTCAATACAAGAGGAGGTCAGGGGAACGCCATTTAGAGCCATTTATGTCTGTGCAATCTTGCATATGGTGGACAACTGTTCTTAACGGTGTTAGAAGCAAATGTGATCACTGAAGACATTAGGCTTCATCATCTAGTGACCATAGATATCTGTCCCAAACTTCATGCCAATTCATCCATTCATTGTTTAGACATTTCAGTCCAAACCAAGCTGGTGGACCGACCCGCTCAGCATAACTATACCTACAGCATGGCTAAAAAACGATTTGTCATTGAAGAGACGACGGAGTGCTTTATGAAAGGCTGTCAAGAAGGCCATCATGCATACAAATCACACTGTCACTCCCCAGGTTTGAATTATTTCAATTAACACAGAAAGGGGGTTGGGAGGACATCAATATAGAAAAACAATAGGCTGATGGTGATTAATAATTTAGCTCAGCTCAAATGACTCTGCAATAAGGCATAATCAGATCCTCCCAAATCAAATGAGGAGGCATTACCATAGTGATTTATTGCCAGTGATATCAAATGAGGAATTAACTTTAAAGGCTTGGTGAAAGAAGTGTGTGTTGGGTATGGGTAGGCGTGGCTCTAGCACGATAGCGGGAAAGGGCCATTTTCTTTTGTTTGTGGCTGCTTGTTTTTGTGGACGGTAGAAAATATACCCGCCTTTGTTCCAAACAAAACAAAGACAGCAAACAAAAGAAGGAAGATAGGAGAGAATAGAGGGTAAATGTCAGATATGACCCTCCAGCGTGACAATGAGGTACTCAAGATGGAAAAGGTAAGTGCTTACACCGTGAGCAAGATATTGACAGATGACAAGTAAGGAAAAGTATATATATATATATATATAAGTATATTCACCAAAATGTAAAGTGAGCACATGCATAAATAACATTTACAGAAAATCACTTATTGATTGGTATTGACAAATATCTTCAGAACTTAAAGTGGACCTATCATGCTATATTTAAATGATATATTGTAGGGCCATACCTATATAAGGTATATTTATACGTTTCTGTTTTCAAAATACCAAACAGATCATGCATTTTAGCCATGCCTCATTTCGCTCTATGTGCTGTTTGCTGTCTACGGGTCTGATTCTGCTGATCACGCCCCCCTGCAGGAGAGGGGAGACGTGCTCTGATCAGCTGCTGGGCTGTCAGAAGAAGGGGAGAAAAAGAGATCTCCGTCCTCCGTGTTTTATTATATAGAGTCGTTATTCATTTGTTTTAAAGCTCAATAAATAACAAAGAAGACCTTTGACCGGCACTTTTCTAATTTTGTCCGGAAGATTTCAACTTTAACGGACATCTTGACCGGTGAAACAAACTGAAACTGAAACTCTGCCGCACGGTCCCCTCGTTCCTTGGAAGAGGCGGAGAGGTGGGTGTTTGTCATCTGCTGGTGGACTAACCGGAGAGAATTACAGTGCTTGCCTCGACGGGGAGGGATTGCATTGCAGCGGGAGCAAACGCTTGCCTCGGGGAGGGAGAAAAAAAGCCACAGCGGAGAATAAACAGAAGGGTAACCATGGTAACTATTGGCGGGAAGTTTTCTTCGCTGCTTTTGTGGCAGACTACAGCGCCACTTACAGGCCTGGCATATGTACTACAGCGTCTCCAGCGCTTTCAAACGGCAATGGCCGTGGCTGTCTCCTCCTGATTGGTGGAGTTGGCCCAATAGCCGTAGCGCCACCGTCCTGACGTCAGGACAGTGTTCAAATCTGGATCAGTTTTTATCAGATCCGTTGCAGCCCCTTTTTTTAGAGATTTGGGTATGGAGGAAAATAGAGAGGGTTGTGTTTTCTGACACTTGGTGAGTTCCCTGGAACACCTGGGACACATATTCATGTATAAAAGACGTACAAAAGTGCATTTTGCATGATAGGTCCCCTTTAACTTCAGAAGTAACACAATGCTTCACACACTATATACGCACACCCATTCGGACTAATGTGCACACACACCATCCTCTATCTCTTGTTAACACACACAAACGCTTATTCATAATTAGTCTCGTCGCAAGTTTAAAAGGGGTGAGGCTTCTAAAATGTGTTGACGATCATAAGTTCAGCGCGCCTTTCCTTTGGCGAGTGAAAGAAAAAAACCTGCATAACAAAGCTTGATGAACAAACGAACGCCCACTTGTTCTCTCTCAAAGGCCCGAAGCCTCCAGGCTAAACAGACTTAAAAAGGCTTCCTCACTCCAGCTTTGGTTAACACGGGGAGAACCCGTGCTACTTTAATTAAGACCCGGCATTTTGGATTACACCGAGGGTGTGGGAAAAATACATTTGTAGTATGCCATGAGTGCATGCCAGTCTTTGCAACAGTGGCTAACTTTACTTTGATGCCTCTTTAGTTGGACTACAGACTCTTGA